CCCTGCCTGGTGACCTTCTACCACACCTTTGAGAAATATCCTTGTCAACAGCTGCCACTCCAGTGTATCCCTTGGGAAGTAAAGAGAAGGTCGTTTCCTCAAGAATGTTCCCTCCGGCTATCTTTCTTTCTGTTGTCTCCTCTGTCATACCAGAGCCAAAACCCCCACTGCGATAGGGTCAAGGTGATTTCATGGTGGCCCTCCACCATGTTTCCAAGGCCACAAATTTCAACAGCAGTAGACTGTCTTGTCTTACTCCCTTAGGATGCCTGATGGATTCAAACCACTGACCTTCTGTTTAGCAACCCCAAAAGTAATGCACGCACCGCTAGGAGTTCAGTATCATCAGTACAGCAGACCCATTACCCTCTGCAGCAGGAAGGAACAGGTGTTACCTTCGCCTTCTCAGGGAGCTGAGGTAGAGTTGACTAACTCGCCGAGACTCACAGGGTTGATGAATGGAGAGCCAGGATTCCAGCCCCAGTCGTCTCTCTGGAGCCAACCAGTGACTCACCAGAAAATGTATTGCCTGTGGGGTTTTTCACAACAACCCACTCACTGTGGCTCATCCTTCAGAAGTCCAAGTGCTTCCTGACATCAGCTGATCTCTGGTTCAGGTGAGCCCAGGCTTACTCCAGACCCTTTGAGAGAGTGCTTCTAGAGGCTGGCCCCATGGGAGAAAGCCTGCTGTCTATTTCTCTGATGATTACAGCCAAGAAAATCTTAACAGCAGTTCTGCTTTGTCAGTTGACCAGGAGTCAGAAGTGACTCAACAGCAGCTAACAACAACGCTCACCCATCTGTTTCTTCTTACCTGTCAGAGCAGTACTATTCATGGAGCGCATACTGTATGTCGGGGTCCAGACACTAGGCTAATCCACGAAACAACCCCACAAAGTGTATCCTGTTATTACGCCCATATTATGAATAGGGTCAGCAAAGCTTTGAGAAGGAGAGCAACTCCACCTCATTCATGCAGAGTAAATGCCAGAACAGTGTTTGGACAAAGGCCTGTTGCCTCCAACCCCAGCTCTTCAGCCTAGACCCAGGGCTCTCAGCCTCAGGACCACTGGCACTGGGGTTGATCCCTTCTGGATCCTCTGGAGAAGTGGTTTTGAGGCATTGTTGTGTGATAAGAGGCTTCACAGCATCTGTGATTTTTACCCACTAGATGCCAGCAACAACCCCTACCACTTCTAGTCATGACAGTCAAAATGTCTCCAGGCATTGCCAAATGTCCCTCAAAATTTAGCGAGCAAGATTACCTCAGCCACATTTGACTGGTTGCTTCATACCTTTCAGAATAGGAAGTCCCCGATTCCAAGCTCATCCCTCAACCTGGACCCCTGACTCCTTCCTCACACCTGCCTCTTTTGGGACTTTACCCTTCCTATTGTCTCATCTAAGGGAATCTTTCCTCTCTCCATCTCCATCCAGTACAAGATTAGACAGACTTGCGTCCATTTCAGCACCAGCTCTTACAGGGACAGCCCAGCAGCCACGTAATAAATGGATAGCAAGCACCTCCCTCCCCTTTCTCCCGCCAGCAGTGTCTTTCTCCAGAGACTTCTTCTTAAGCACATATTGTCTTAGAGTGGCCATCCTGGATGCACTTTTCCATTCTCTCCTCCTCAGCCCCTCGCAAAGGGTGAAGGCCCCGCTCCAGCCTCCATGGGCACAGTGTTCCTGTGCGTCCATGACCTGGGAGTGGGAGTATTCATCATCATGGGTTGTGGTTTTGTCATCCCCCAAGTGGAGATGTCATTAGAGAGCTCACATTTCCTGAGTGAGTGAGGCCAGCCTGAGTGACCACCACAGACTTGCAGGAGCCTGTTTCTTACTCCAGGATTGTCTGATAGGCACATTCATCATAGCCATTCTGAGAAGTCTGACAGGCTGCAGGGAATCAGAAAGCCTCTCCGTGAATGTCCCACTCCTTCCTGCCTGTTCCCATGAGCATTATCCCCTCTCTCCTCTCGAAGATGTGGCCTGCCTGTTACAGTATTCCTCTGGAAAACCACAATAAATTCCTTAAATGCCAGTGAAGCACTTTTTGAATGGAAAGCTCACATAGCATGAAGGCTGTCATCTGTGTGTGCTCACACGTGCCCCCTGGCAGGGGATGGTCTTAGAGGTAGTTCCTTAGCCCTCAGCCCCGTATGCACATGCATCCTTCCCAGAAGGCACTTCTTCATGGAGCCTCTCGGATGCCAGAAGCATTCCGGCTACTCTCTGTGCTTGAGGCAAGAAATGTCTAAATAGGCTTTCAGATATTGTAGCATATTTCATTTTATATTTTATTTTTCTTTGTTAATAATTTCAACATAAAAAAAAAGTCAGTGTACTGTGATTTGCTGACAATGGCAGGCTTTATTTTGTAAATGATAATCCATGGTTCCCTGCTGGTGGTCAGCTCATGAGACAGCTAGATGGGCCTTGTCTTCGAGTATCAGTGACTTTGTGTGGTGCCTCATTTCTAGCGAAGGGCAAGAGCCTGAACCTCGAGGCCACTTGTACTGTGCAGTCAGCGTGGACAGTTCCCTGCCTGTAGACCTGGCCCTTGACCCTGGCGTTCTCCCTTTCCTGCAAAACAGGGCCTCTTTCCCAGGACCTGTTTCTACTTCCTGTGTTACACTTGAGTATTTGGGGTCCCAGATCCCCCACACATACGAGAGACCTGTGTGTGTATCTCATCCCTTGGTTGTCCCCAAGGGTAGACTGAGTCACTAGTATACACATCCCTACACATTATATAAGGAAATATATAGGGTATTATATAAGGGAGGTGGGGGGACCAGGTTGAATGTCTAGGCTAGGGGGTTTGCCTTGTAGGACAGAGCCAGGGGTGGGATGAAAAGGACCAGACACGGGCTAAAGGCCAGCACTGCGTGTGTCCCCATAATCTGAAGCAGATTAGAAGATTATGGGCCCTCATTTATCTTCTTACCTTAATCCCATTAATATCAGGAATGAGTCTTCTTGCTGGCCAGCCTCTCCCCTCAGTCCCTGGCATAGAATTATTTCCCTCTTCCTAGGGGTTGCCAAGGGGATCGGCCAAGATGGCCAGCATTCCCTGTGGAGCTGGCTCTGGCCCATGCTTTGTCACGTTTACAACTCCGAGGAGAATTTCAGGATGTCCAGAGCAGCAGTGGCTCTGCCAGCACCCGCGGTAGCAGAGCTGTTTAGGTGTGTAGGCTTATAAATCACTTACCGGCTTGTGACCCAGGCCACCTCTCTGTAAACAGGGTAATGATACCTACGTCATAGGATTCTTACACAGATGAGATTAACCAGTCTTCGTAAAGTTCTTCGAGCGCGGCACCAAATAAGTGCTCACTCAGCGTTCCTGCTGTTAGCATTATCATCATGATTATTACACCACTTTGGTGTGAACAGACTTCTTTCCCTTGCAGCTTATACTGGAAGGTGGCAGATGGTATGTGTGGAAGAGTGCTCACAAGGCCAACGGAGAGCCTCTCAGTGTGCTCTAATTAGTGCATTTCACGCTTTTTCTTATGGAAAATTTCAAACATAATACTGACACGAAAGTCAAGAGAATAGTATAAGAACGCCATGCTGGACTCAAGAGTTAGCGGCCCGCAGCAGTCTTGTTTTGGCTGTGTTTCCATCCACACTGCGCCCCCCTCCTCCCCAGGGGACCCATTCTTGATCTAGATCTCCCAACATCAGCAAGGAGAAGAGACAAACTCTCTGCAGGCAGCAGCCATCCTTGAGGGGCAGCTCGCAGGGACGGGTGCCTTCACCCAGCCTGAGGCAGAAGATAAGAGGCCCCAAATCTGGTGAGGAGTGGTACTGACTCTGGGGGGAAATATACCCTGTTCTCAGGACAGCAGGAGGCCCAAGACTGTGGGTGAGATGAAGCGAACAAATCAGACCCTGTGAAGACGTTTGAGATATCAACACCCAGAGGAGACCGGGAAAGGACCAGGGCCTGGAGACAGGTGGCCAGCAGCAGGGAAGGGCAGTACAAGAGGCAACAACCGGCATTATTTCAGTTGAGGGGACACTTAGCCTTGGTGCAAGAGAACTGGTCTGCTAAGGGCCCTCTTTCAGTGGCTGGGAGTCAGTTGCTCAGCCGGGTACATTGAAGTGAACAAATACAGTCCTAATAGTGGTTCTTCCTGACAGCTTGCCTCGGGAATTCAATCACAGAATCACCCCAGGGCTCTGTGATGAAGCCAAAGAGCAGGAATTGCCCCCAAATCACAGCTTAGCGGGGGAAACCCTCTCGTCAAGGATCACAATCCAAGAAGGATTATGTATGCACTCATGCAACCCCACACCTCCCCGACTGGGGAAATGAGGGGCACTAAAGTTACTCCAGCAGGTGCATTGTGGTCCCCTGCACTTGGGAGGGAATCTGAGTCAGAGCTTGTAATGAGCCCCACAGAATACCCTCCTTTCCTCATTCCGTCCAAGAGCTGCTAGGCAGTTCGCCTTCTCAGCATCTACCCCCCACAGAAGGCTGTGGTACAGATGATCTTCAGCTGACACACTGCGGTCTGTGCACAGCCTGGAAGAATGTTTCCCATGACTTTCTTTTCCCCAGGCAGCTCCCCTTTCCGCTTCCCCCTTCTTCACTTCCTCATTCCTGCAGCCACTCGGTTCGCCTCAGTGGGGTCTGGGCCTTGGGGTGTGGATTTGGGCCAGCTGTGTTTTCCTGAAATGCCCAGTATGAGAACCAGGGGATGACCATGATGTTTCCTGCAATTGAAGAAGTGGAGACCTAGCAGCAAACCAGGATGTGGCTTGGCGTCTCACAGGGATAGAGCCGGCGGTGTGGGGACCGAGGCCACAGTGGCGGCCCTGTGACCTCTAGCTCTCTGGCATTTGAATAAGCATTTTCCAAGGGTCCTTGTTCATAGTCAGTACCTGCCAGGACTCTATCTTACCCCAGAGCCCTTTAGCAAACTGGAATGATCTTCAATGCAGAGTCAATTGTATCCAAGGATCCCTGACTCTCCTGGTCTTCTCCCCAGGTGTGGGCCCTCACGTACAACCAGCAGATCCTCCAGGACGAGCTGTGCCTCTCGGTCACCACCTTCTTCCCTGGTGCGCCAGTGGTTCTTGTGCTTTGCAGCAACGAAGATGACAAACAGGTACGTGCCCAGAGGATCCTTCCTGGGCCAGGGCAACCCTCAGTACTGCTGCTATTCTTGGGGTCCGGAAGAAGAGAAGATGTGCAGAGAGGAAGTATGTGGGCACCAAGAAAGGGTTGATGAGAAAAGGTGGTTGTGGTTAGAAATCGGGTGGAGGGGGGCAGGTGTTGAGCACCCCCGGCTGAATGTAGGCGTCTGTTACAGGTGACAGCACCCTCCTCTTAGATTGCCAACCCCTGACAGGTTGCCGCCCTCACTGAACTACACCAAGCAGGTTCAAAATGGCCTGTCCTGTCGGTGCCCTGACGTCCACCTGAGATCTCAGACCAGTGTAGGTCTCTGGAAGAGCCTTTTTGGTCTCAGGGATGAGCAAGGCCGAGGCCTTTGTCCTCAGAGGCCTGGGGCTCCTGCACTGTCTCCACCAAAGTGCTGACTGCTTTGGATGTGCCAAGCACCCAGTTATTCTAGCACAAAAAGTTTCCCAGCACGAAGTTTTCCCAGCAAATAAGATGTTGCAATTGGAGAGACCAAGATTCAGATGCCTGGGCTGTGACTGGCAGTGTGAGTCATTGTCGATTATGTGACCTCTCTGAGCTTCTGTTTCCTGCTTTGTAAAGTGAGGCTGTAGATGCCCAGTGTGCAGGGTAGCTGTTCACAGCCATGCACATGGGCCAGAACTCAGCGCCACATAATTGCAGTTCTCTGAAGCCCGTCCATACCCTTGCTTCTCGGCATTTAAAGTGAAGTCTGAGAAACAGCAGCAGGAAACCTACCTCTGCCTTGGGCACTCAAGCATGCTGGAGGAGCAAAAGTTTACTGCCACGAGCCACTTGCCCCTGCTCCCATTAGCCTCCCTGCGCCCCAAATCACCAGCTCTATCCAATATTATTATTATTTTTTAATACTGCAGATAGCAAGCTTGGATTATTTTTTTCCTTTCTTTTGCTTGCCCCTGTGACTAGCTCACTTCACATGCTCTGGCCGATTGCTTGGAAAGTTATTGCCTCCTAATGAGTTTTTCAAGCAAACATATTGATTTCCCTTCTGCTATTCTAAATCCAATCTTAAAAAAAAGAAAACGCAAACAAACACCAGCAATACCTGGCAGAGCAATTAGGTGCCGTTTCGTTCCTCCATGGGGCTGAAGTCAGGCATCCGAGTGACCCGAGGTGGAACGCCAGCCTTGGCCGAGAAACCTGGTTCACCCCTCTCTTCTCTGTTCCTCTCTCTCTCAGCGATGGACTAAGGCGGGCTCCCGCATCGAGCACATGGCCTCCCACCTGTGCCTGGACACGGACACATTTGGAGAGGGCTCAGAGAATGACAGCGAGGTCGTCATCAACCCGTGTGAGTCCTCACTCATCACCCAGCACTGGGACATGGTGAGCTCCTGAGGGGCCTCCGGGCACTGGCCTGGACCGGGGCGCTTCCCGGACAAGAAGCAGGCTGGACACAAGGCTGCCCACAGCCAGAACTACTGCAGATGCCCTGGACTGGGAGGTGGAGGCAAAGCCCCCCCAGGACAGGAGCCACTGTCTCAGGGAGGATGGAGGAGAAGTTGCAAGTCACAAGTCAGACACAAACCCACATGTTTTCAATGTGTTGAACCCCCGCCCTGACTGTGTTTCCCAGTTTGTACCTGGAGACAGATATCCAGTGGGGAGCACATGATGCCCCTTTCTTATAAAGGAGGCCCTTGGGGGAGGCTAGAGAGAGAAGCCTTCCTTGTAACTGGGCCAGGACAGAGCAACGAAGAATGGAGGTTGTTTTCATAACCAATAAAGATGATCTTAGTCTTGTTCTCTGCATATATGTTCTTTTTTGTGACTTGAGTTAGCTGAGGGCTAAACCAGGTTCTCCTTTAGTGGGGTGGGGTGTGTACTCTTGGGGGCCTTCCGGCAGGGTGGAGTAAGGAGAAGGGGCCACAGGAAGCCTGTGCTGTTGACTTGCCTCTGCCACCACCTGGCTGTGTAATCTGAAAAAGACCCGGAGCTTCCCTGGCCTCCATAACCTGTTGCATGAAGTGGGGGTAAAGAGCCAGTTTGGTGGGTCTGACTCAGGGGTGAATAGTCTACCTCCTCTGGGGACATTCGATCAAATTCAGATGCTCTGGGTCCCACTTGTGGAGGTCCTGATTTAGCAGGTCACCCCTGGGTCCGAGCACTTCAGCTGATTGTGGTGTTGCTGTCTGGTTTCTCATATGGCCTGGGCAGCCTCAGGCCTCCATGGCCCCTCAGGCCTCTGTGGCCCCACATCTGTGGCACCAACACACTTGTTTCTAGTCTGTTAAAAACCAGTGTGCTCTAGAGACTGGTCGTGGTGGCTCCCTGTTCTTGTCAGCTAGGGTGAAGGATAGAACCAGTACATAGCTGACCCTGTAGCAGAGTTCCATAAATCACATGTGAGGAAATTGCTCACGTTTCTTCCTCAGAGCAATTGGTGGATTCGAACTATCAGGGCGAGGCAGCCTCTGTGCCACCAGAGCACCCTCCATATTGGTTTAAATTTCCCAAAATGTGTGTGTCATTCTCTGCTAAGGTTAAGTTCCCTCACCAGCTGTTTTATAACTGGCTTAGCTTCTTATTGCTGTGTTACATCACTCCAAAATGTAATGGCTCAGAACATCACACGTTCCTTATTCCATAGCCTCTCACAGTCAGGACAACAGGCAGAGCTTCAGGAACTTGTGCTTCAGGCCCTCGCAAGGCTGCAGTAGTTAAGGTGCTGGCCAGAACAACCGGCATCCTAAGGCACATCGGGTGGAGTATCTGCTCCAAGCTCACTCAGTGCTTGTTGGGTGAGTCTGTTCCTTGATGACTGTGGCCAGAGGCCACCCTCGGTTCTTCGATGCATCAGCATCTATAGCATGACCACTGGCTTCACCAAAGCCAGCAAGAGGCTCACAGGATAAGCAAGACAGAGTCACACAACTACATCACAACTGAATCCCAGACCCTGTCGTTCTGTCTGCTAATAGCACTGGTGATAGGGTGGCAAAGTGCTCACCTGCAGGTCATAGGTTAGGCTCCACTCCCTGCTCCCCGGGAGACAAATGCAGCAGTCTTTGTCTGTAATCCTCACAGGTATTAGAAAACCTACAGAATATTCTACTCAGTTCGGTAGGGCCACTCTGAGGCAGAATCAACACTACGACAGTGAGTTTGAGTCTTTATTTGTTTTGCTCTATCCATAGTCCATGGTCTGTCTTTAGAAGTAGGTCCCTAGGTCCAGCTAGGTCCTAGCTAGTCCTAAGCCCTAGCAAGTCAAGGTAGGTCCTAGGCTAAGGGAGTGACCCAAGAAAGTGACCGTAAGAAGTGAGGATCAAGGGGTTACAGAGAGTCACGTTGCAATCAGCCTTCCATGGCAACTATTATACTTGATGCAGGTGCCTAACTCCTTCAACCTGAAAGTCCCCCAGGCTTAAATAGGCAATGGTCCAAGCTCATCATATAAAGAGCTCATCATTATCATGGGCTACTACAGACATGGAAAATGTAAGGCTGTGTGTGCATATAGACCAGAATCTCCACTGGCGGGCTAGTTATCTTTGCACAATTCTTCCACTGCCTTTTTGTAATTAGCCTCATGTCGGGGCTGTTTAACTGAGGAGAAGAGCCTACGGAGTAGATAGACATCCGCAGAAGACATTTTGATGGCTCCTTCAGCTGTGTGTCTGCCAGGATCAGGCCAGCCTTGCAGAGAGGAAAGAACAGAGAGGATTGCCCAGCATCCTGAGCCCCACAGAGGAGGATGAGAACAGTTTTGTTCTGGTCTCAGATGCCCACTTACTGCATGTCTGCATATGTGTCTGGTGTCAATCTTTGGTGGCAGGAACTTACCTTTATCTCCAGTACTAAGCCTGGTACTGAGCTCTCAAGTTTTCAGTGAGTATTTTTTTTAATTTTTTTCTTAATTATTAACTTCAATGAAAATTTATAGAGACTTTGGATTTCCATTCATTCATTCATTGTTGCACTTTTCATGCTGCCCAATCCTTCCCCCTAGTACACTCCCTTCTTTGAAAAGTGAAAGAAAAATTTTTTCATTATTTTACAATCTTTCCCCCCCAAGTCCATTCCACTATGGAGCCTTCATTCTGGACTCCTGTCATGACAATAATACCTAATTATATATCCCTTTTAAACGGTTTTCTCCCTCATCTGTTTCATTGCAGTATACGTTATTTATCCCATCTTTCTCAGTCTCCCCCCAACTCCGATGTTAGTCCCGTTTTATAACAGTGGCACCAGTCAGTATTTTTCCCTTTGTGACTGAGATATTTCACTCAGCATAATGTCCTCCAGGGTCACCCATTTTGAATAATATTTCATGAGTTCCTTGTTTTTCAATGCAGTATAGTATTCATTGTGTGACTATACCACAGCTTCTCTATTCATTCGTTTGTTGATGGGCACTTAGGTTGTTTGCAACTCCTTGCTATTGTGAACAAAGATACAATAAACATTCAGTGAGTGAGTATTTTCTTTAAAAGATGATCAAATAAAAGAGTCCATGCCCAAGATAAATTTATTTTGTTTGTACTTTATGACCTCTGTCAAACATCTAAGGAAATGAAAAAAGATAAATGGTGGGCTTTGCCCCATGGGACAAACATTTTGGTTTTTAACTCTCCCTCTTTTGATGTGGCAGGGGGGCTAACTCACATTCAATACTCTTGTGTGGCTTCTATTGCAAAGAGAAATAATTTTTATAATAATAATGAAGACTGACAATAAAGGTGATCTGCCAGGAGGTTCCTCAGGTGGTGGTTGTTGTTATGTGCCACGGAGTCACTTGTGACTCATAGCAACCCTATTTACAAGAGCCCTAAACTCAGCTCTGTCCTGTACCAACCTCATTGTCTCCGACACACTCATCCCGATGCCCCAGTCATCGAATCAATCCACCACCCAGAGGGCCTTCCCCTCCTGCACCTGCCCTCCACCCTCCCAAGCATGATGTCCGTCTCCAAGGACCAGTCCCTCCTTACAACATGTCCAAAGTGTGTCAGACGAAGCCTCAGAATCCTTGCCTCCAAGGAGCAGCCCAGTTTAACACTCTTCAGGATTAATCTGTTTGTTTTCTTAGCAGTCCATGGTACCCTCAACACTCTTCTCCAACACCACAGCTCAAAAGCATCAGTTCTCCTTCTATCCTCCCTTCCCTAGTCATTGTCCAACTCTCTGATGCATAACAAGTGATTGCAAAGACCATGGCCTGTATCAGATGTACCTTAGTCTCCAAAGAGACATCATTGCTCTTCAGTTAATTTAGAGAGGTCCCTAATAACAGAATTTCCTATCGCAATACTTCTTTTAATTTTCTGGCTACTGGTGCCTAGAGTGTTGATTGTGGAGCCAAGCAGACTAAAGCTGTCAACAGTCTCAATCTCTTTACCATCCATCCTGATGCTGCCAATTGACCCAGTGGTGAGAATCTTTGTCTTCTTGGCATTGAGCCTCAATTCATATTATAGGCTGCAGTCCTTGACCCTCTGCAGTGAGCGCTTCAGTTCCTCCTCAGTTTCAGCAAGCAGGGTTGTGTCATCTGCATAATGCAGATTGTTGACAGATCTTCCACCAATTCTGATGCCACATTTCTCCTTATAGAGCCCAGCCTCTCAGATGATCTGTTCTGCATACATGTTGAAAAAGTATGGAGACAAGACACATCCCTGGCATACACCTTTCCCAATTTTGAACCATGCAGTGTTTCCCTGCTCTGTTCTGACGATTGCCTCTTGGCCCAAGTATAGGTTTCGCATTAGCACGATCATTCTTCTCAGAGTCAGCCACAGTTTGTTATGGTCCACACAAACGCCTTTGCATAATCAATGTGCCTTGGGTCGTACAAATGGCTAATTACACAGCTACTAACTGAGAGAGTGGCAGTTCAAATCCACTCAGAGGGACTTTCTAAGAAATACTTGCCCCTGAAAGATCACAGCATTGAAAGCATTATAGAGCACAGGTCTAATCTGAAGCACACAGGTTTCCAGTAGTCAAAATGAACAGAAACTGATTTGCTTTGATATTTTGGAGTCTGATGGCAGAGAGATAAGGATCCCTGATGGTATAATGGAAACTCACATCTACTAACCAAAAGATTGGTGGTTTTGTAGGTGAAAAAACCTAGGAATCTGTACCTGCAAAGACTTGAGTTCAATTTAAACTCATCACCACCCAGTCAGCTCCGTCCTATAGCAGCCCTCCACCAGGGTTCTAGGCTATTAATCTTCACAGGAGATGACTGCCCATCTTTACCCTTGTAGCGACTGGTGGATTAGAACTGCGGAAGCCTCATACTCTTTTGATTTATAGTACAATTTACTATGGACTACACCAGATTATAGCCTAGAAAATTCTAAGGCAGTTGTACTCTGTCAAAAGGGAAC